AGCCTGGGATTCAACAGGTTTATCACATGATTCACCCCAAAAGTGTAATCTCTTATTTAATATGTTAGTGTAGACTAAAAGTACTAAGTATTGTTATCCCTCTGTAGTTTGCTTTTAATTTAGTATCAACTTTTTGTGTGGAGGGGAACAATAACTCAATGTGCCCAAATAGAAGGAAACTATGCAGTATCAAACATTGCATTAAATAATAAAGTCAAGCTTGGACATAGTATACCCTGGGCATATTTGAACATTTCAGTCTTAAGTTTATCTGCACCAGCTGATTTACCATATTTTAATGAAATAATAAAAATTAATAACTTCCTCTTGGAGAATATGAGAGTGAAGACTCTGCAAGCTGATCGGTGTTCGTATTTATACCTTCATCTTCGGTGACTGTATCAGATTTAGTTTTAAACATACAACAAAAGTACTTGAACCATTGGTTTCTGTTAATGTCCGGTTTTGGAGTAGGCTGGGTGTTAGATAAACGCTTCAACGAAGAGCAGAACAGCATGTATGTTATTAACAAATGCGCTTTTGAGGTTTTCTTGACATTGTCTCTTTTGTTTCACGAGTAACATTGTATATTGATTTCTTTGCTTCATATAATTATTTAAGAATGACTGATCTTTTTGTCGTTTAAAGTATTTAAGTAGTCTAAGTCTCTCTGAACGGTGATAACGACAGTCTTTGTCAAACCAGGGTTGATTATAAACGTTAGTGCCACACGGTCTTTTCATGCACTCTACAGCAGAGCTGATGGCTTCGGACATAGATTGCATGGGACCACAAATACCCTGGAGTCCCCACGCGTCAACACGATCAGTAGATAAAGGGATAACATAAATCCTACTGGGGACTGCTAGAAGTTGTGATATTGCAAGGTGGCCTAGCTTTGGATGCTTGAGGCTTATGGCCCGTGTTGTGAGCAGATAGGTGTGCTATTTCCATGCTAAATATGATTACAAATTGCTTTAATATTACAATTTCGATTCATTGTTAACATACTCTTTAATTCCATCATCGCTGCCGTGTTGCTGAGGCAATGCTGAAAATGCCAGCTTCCATATTTTATTATTATTCATTTATACGGTATTCATCAGCCTATACATGATAAATGGATAAGTCCATTTTGGTGGCTCTATTGAACACAATTAATCAATCAACATTCAACGCAGTATGCATCTACTACTATCAACTCTAGACAAACTAAAAACATCTAAGAAACAGTATGGTCTTGTTCCCGTCCGGTTGTATTCAGTTGAGGTACAGCTTTGCGGGGACAGCAGCAACTGTGAGCAGAAGGAAGTGCCAGGATATCGTAGCGGCACCAGAGGCTGAAATACAGGACATTTATGTCAGTGTTAAGTAAATAATGAGTCATGCAGCGCAACTATAAACAAAAACGATGAAATGTTCAACATGTAATAATGTCATGAAATGTAACCAGTCTTTTATGATAACATTTCTCGTTTTTCATTATCCGGCCATCTTATATTTTCTGTTATCAAGAAACTACATTTTCAAATGGAATGTCATTTTTGCAACGGATTCCATATTATTCCCCACGCCATGCTATTCATGCGTAGTGTAGGGGAAAACAACCTTTGTCACTTAATTATATTTCATTTTTAATGCCTTCAATCCAAATTTCCCTACAATTCCATTCTAAGGCACCAGTAGGATTTGTTTGCATCGTGTAGGAAAATGAAGCCATAAACAAACGTTGACTTCGGGCGCCATTTTTTTATATTTTTGCACTCTATGCCATGACAAACATTATGTCCGATTCAATTCCCGATTTTGACTGGGAAAGGTGTGCCCGTGTTTTTTTTCGGTTGAAACATTGACTTACCTTTGCTTGTGTTTGTGATGAGTGCTCGATAATGCAGGGTACATAAACGCTGCTCATAATATACTTGGAATAGTACAATAGGCACTGCTTTCAGAAGACATTTCTTAGGATTATGGGAATGATTTTGTCGCTTTTATTTAGACGTATATAAAGGATATTGTATGAGTGTCATTGGCATACTATGTTTACGACACGAGTGACGTAAACATAGTATGATATGAACACGACTATAATGTTCTATTTATTACCGAAGAAGATTCATACGACGGATTGTGGTGTTTAACAATAAGGACAGCAAGTTGCAACAGCAGCGGGTTCACAATTTGTTGAATGTCGTCAGCTATGACGTCGTTTCTAGTGTGACTTCATTCCGACCTCACCTTACAATGAGATTCGAATGACGTCAACAATGCCGTCCGGATGAGGTAAACAATACACTGTTGTTTCGTGACGTGATATGACCCTAGGGCACATATGTTTTTTATGAACCCCGATATGTTTGCCTTCGTAGGTAATAAGTTAGTATATTGAATAGCACTTACTGACATAAGTGTTTCTTATAAAGTAAGACAAGTCAAAGACAAACTGATTGCTAAAGCGCTGTTTTTGTACTTTTAAACCATGTGCTCAACATCGAAATTTCGCCAAAACTCTTACAAGATCCTTATCAAAACATGAGGTTAAATGGAGTTCAGTTTCCAATGGTGATTTATATGACGCAGAATGGTTCAAGAACACAGAATTGTTAATCTTTTGACTCCAGTTTTGTTCAACAATGTCAGTACATGTTCTCTTGAATAATTCCATAAAACAACGTATATGTCCACAGTTCTGCGATATCCACGCATAACCAAAACCAGATTCAAACAAAAGCATTCTCACATGAGATGCCCAATTAACACTACCATTATCACCTTGTACTTTCAGCATTTTATAACAAGCATGTGGAAGTCTATTTGAATTCATGCGTATCAATCTACACAGATATCTTATACGTCGGCTAAAATAAATAACACTTAGGTGATAACGGACAACTTCAACAAGAACCGCATTAGATGATGCTTTATTACTGATTGATAAATATCTCTTTAAAAAAACTCTGGACTTTTTCTATACTTTCTCAACATGTAAATCACCAAATTTCACTTCCATAACCGGCAATCGGAGCTATTTTACTATCGAATATAGAAACAATTACCTTAAATGACAAGTACGGTTAGAGCTTAGCCACCTTAAAATAGATAAACATGCTTTCTTGGCCTGATGAAAAGACAATGCCCAAGTATTTATAATATATAAATAATATATATATGGGAAGTTTCATTGTAACTAATGTATCCTGGTCACTCGGTGACGGCGGCTTCCTAATAGAATGTAACAATTGACAGGAAATGGGCAGATGGTCAGACTCTGTTCTGCTGTGTACATATAAATCTTTGATAGCATTACGATTGTTTGAAGATGCAAGAAAATATTCGAATTTGGGCCTATGTACGTAAAACAGCCTTCCACGTCACCTGGTTTCCGTCCATTCACAATATGAATTCCCCATTGTTTACATATATTTAATAATGACATACCAAACTTTTCTCTTGTGATTTTCTTCCTTCACAGAACATATCTGTTTTGTACATCCCACCTAGCTACAGCACTTCAACATCAATTTCATTCTCTTAAATGAAATCATCCTGAGATGCAGTTCGTGCATTAAGGTCCCCATGTAGAACCATATTAATGTCTGTGCCATACTCAGACTTAAAACAAGATATCATAGTCTCCAGCTGAATTCCGTCATCACCCGCCATATCGCGGTATAGCAGGGACGCTTCCGGAAGCACATACAGTCCACCTAGGATGACGCGTTTCACGCCAGACTCAAGCCTCACAAACACACACTTACCCAAGTCACTGTGGATTCAGATGAGCTGAGGTGACCTTACTGGAGGCCTTACCCCTGGCGCGTGGACTAGTGACCCCGATAGGGTGCGGGTTTGGAATATGTGCAATAACGCCATTAAGTAGTTAGTACTAACTACAATTATTGATCCAAAAAGGTATGTGAGAATGTCTTAGAAATGGATCTAAGGTTTCTAGAATATCCAAATCATAAGTAAGGAATAATGTATGAGGTTTTCTTTCACCTATATGCTGTTACCTCTTGATATAAATTTAATAATGTGAAAAGTGACCTGTGTCTGGCATGGATATACTAAATAGGTTTACTTTCTTGGAAGAGGTGACAACCATACAGCGCCATGTAGATGATCCACAAGAGGTTTGTTGCAAAATATACAAGGGTACATTGATGACTAGCCAAGACGACAAACTGTCTGCAATAACAATTGCGTGTGCCTGCATGCATACATTTGTTTAACAAGAATGTATAGCCAGAGGGATGACTTTACCTTTCCGATAGTCAACTTTGTCTTTATGTCGAGCAATATTCCTTTGAGGGACAATCGAGCATGCTCTTTCCACCAAGATTTGAAAGAACGTACTTCAACTCTTGCCCAGAAGTCGTTCGATCACCTTTACAACATCCAATGCCTCCGTAAAGTTTTCTAAAAGACTTATGAAAGTCATAAGGAGGATATTTCCAAATTTGACGCATCAGTTGCAAGATTGATGTCCGATGCTATTCCCTATTTTGACTTGTACCATTTGTTCCCGTGGTTTTTTTAGGTGAACAATTACCTTGCCTTGGGATGTGTTTGTGACGGATGCCATCGGTGGAGCAGGATAGGCCCTCCTGTTCGGGAACACCTGATCTCATCACTATTTGAAAGTGTTTCATAAACACATGCTCATGTTATAGTAGGAAGTGTGTGCGTGCATTCGTGTGGTCAATTAAGTTTTATCCGTATGTTGTACTGCATTTGAATCATGGGATCTTTCTCATAGATGAGGGGCGTTCGGGAAGCCTAGTGGTTAAAGCGTTCGCTCGTCACTCCGAAGACCCGGGTTCGATTCCCGACATGGGTACAATGTGTGAAGCCCATTTCTGGTGTCCCCCGCCGTGATATTGCTGGAATATTGCTAAAAGCGGCGTAAAACCATACTCACTCACTCACTCACTCTCATAGATGAAACAACATAATGCAATCTAAGCTGATATAACACTTTATTACATAAATGATATGCTGATAGTTCAGTACATTTTAAAAACTAATGTTAAGCATAATTGGGAAAGAGGAAATCATGAATACATTATGCTTTACTTCTGCTATCAAAGAGTTGATGGCATTTACTATTCGTCAGTGGCCTCTTAGGGGGAACCACGTCATCAGTAAACGTCATCAGGTTGGCCTAATTAAGTTGATTACAAGTCATTTTGCCCCTTGAATCAGTTTGAAGACTCTGTATTCGTTTTCGCTTCACATTTTAATGCGCATCGTATCATGTGAATTACAGGAAGTTCTATCAATGTCAAGAACAGTAATGTTCAACAAGAACTGTAACGTTGCAAACCAACTACAAACATTTCAAAAGCAGGTTTGTATTGCGATTGTTTGGGGTTAACAAAAAAACGTCATCAGGACGAAGGGGAGCAGAACACTCGTACTGTACATTCCCAGGGTGGAAACTGCGGTATCTACACAAGAAAGAAAATAAAAGAGATTACACATTTCTTTGCTAAAAAGAATGTTCAGATTCACCTTTCAGATTTAGTGATATTTTAATCTATTGGTATGATTTCAAAACCAAAATATTTAATTGTCTACAATTAGTTTCATATGAACATGTGACCACATTATTACCAGGTTGTTTATTAATGTATAAATTCAACACGTCAATGCTAGAAAATCACCAGTGTCGGTATAGCTCTCGAAACAAATTAAATAGGGCCTGTAGCACCACCACTCATAAGTGTTTGTTTGAAAACAAGTAAGACTAAATAACTAAGAGTTTGTTTGCACAGTTAACTTGCCTTTGCATGTGTTTATGACGGGTACCGTCGATGGGGCAGGATACCCTCACATTTTCGAGAAAACCTGATATCATCACTATATGATAGTGATTCATAAACACATGCTCATGAATATAGTCAGAATAGTTCAATCGACTCTGTTTTCAGCACAGATTTCATATGAATATGGAAATGATCCACGTCGTTGGGGTACTACACCACACTGAAAACCAAGTCACCAAGCCTTTCGCTAGGTTCATGCCACGGTTGATGCACATGTTTAATTACACTTTTCAGTGTAAGCGTAATTTGTGAATATGAGGATCAAGGAAAAAATCGTCATATCAACATACAATCAGAAAGCGACAAAAAGTCAATACTTTAATTCCTACGCGCACATTTCAGACAGATTGAAGAGATAGCTCAGGCAAACCAAGCCTTAACCCATACTCTATCACTATTATTATAATTATTCAATACGAAAATAATTGTTTGTCAGTGATTACCTTTGCATACATGGAAATATATCTTTACCTTTATGAGTGAGTATGGTTTTACGCCGCTTTTAGCAATATTCCAGCAATATCACGGCGGGGGACACCAGAAATGGGCTTCACACATTGTACCCATGTCGGGAATCGAACCCGGGTCTTCGGAGTGACGAGCGAACGCTTTAACCACTAGGCTACCCGAACGCCCCTTTACCTTTATGAGATGCATGTACCAATTATACATAATTGCAAAATGAACTCATAGGCAATCGACAACTGGATGATACTTACTACATGTGAGAGCTGTAAGTCTCCCCTTGGGCTTGTCTATTATAGCAGAGGCTATGACTCCAGTCGCGCATGTATCTTTATCTCCTGCATCAGTGAGACATTGGATGTAAGTCTCAAGAGGCCTAAAACAAATGACATGGTGTTCTATATTACTGATAATAAAAACGTGAGGTGAATATGAATAATTGCTTGTAGCATCTAATGTTAATACTGTTTCCATATTTAAATATATGTCACTACATTAAGTTAACATTATAGTGTTGAAGATGATATGAAAATATGATTTTACCCGCAAGCGTTGTTCCCGGACAGATCGCTTCCCCAGAATGTCTTTTGGCATGTACAGGGCGAAACCAAAACTTGGTCTAAAATCAGAAAGGAAAGACTACCAGCATCATTCTTTTATGATATTGATACATATTGTGGGTAGCTTTTGTGCTACAGAAAGAGACAAGGAAATGCTTCTTATCCAAATACAACAAACACTGCATAACGATTGAGTGCTTACCGCAAGTTGCATCTTTGATTGTCGTCGCCTGAGCTGTTGACAGGTCACATCCAGCTGAAGTTCCCGCCGCAGTCTCGAGACAGTCTAGGTACGTTTTCAGATGTCTGCAAAATAGACTTTTCCTTAAACAATTTGTACTCCAAATATCTTGAAAACTACTGAAGGTATTTGGAATACCAGTGGAGGCATGCTGTTCGTTAGGAACGTTCTCATTACCAATGACAATCTTTAAATACATGTGTGGGTCATGGGGGGAAGTAGTCGAACGTACACAGATCCCTTAGTGTGACCTTTCGTCTTTCGTATCTGATAATGACAATAAAAACATTGGGTTCCTACATACCCACAGTCATCATCTGTTCCAGCGTTGTCGTACGTGTCAGTACATGCAGCACAAGTTCCAGCAGCTTCATGACCTGGTGTGAAGACGCCTGTAAGAAACAATAACACAAAGATATCAGGAAACATTACGCTCAGAGACGTTGGCGGTAATGTACTGTGTTTGTTTTGGCTTTACAAATTAGAAGTTACGATTTAGTTAATGCAACTTAATTAGTAGAAACCTATCATTAGCCTTAGCTAACTAAATGCAACTCACATAAAAGCAGAGGGAACACCACCAAAGTCCACATCCTGTATGCACCTTGTTGTTGTCTGGCCAGACCCCGCTGTGGTATACACTGTCAACATGGGGAGTTTTAGCTTTATACCCTATGTTGCTATGGTGTAGTCTGTTGACAGGGACACAGTTTGAAGCATACTCCCAAACACTATAAATTCTCCCTACTTTTAGCTTTACCACACACGGTGATTTTAGATTTTTTATTGACGACTTTGGTATATCTTCCACATTGCATGAAGGTTGTTAATAAAACGTTAATGACTTGCATGCTACCCTACTTTGTTTTGTTCACGAAAACGAAAACAAGACATATAAGGTAACGTTTATTTAGCATTAAACATTCAATTCTTATAGAAAATTCTATTTGTTTATACCTGTAAGATGTTGAAACTGACCTTGTCACCACCTGATCATAGAAGATTATTTTCTGAACATCACTGATCACCCGGAAAAAAAAGTTTCACAAATCTGTTATCAAGGTTATATAGAAATATATGAATTGGGAATATATCAGTTTAGGTAATCGGAATGTTACTAAACTCTACATTCTCAGGATTTTCTCTCTGATCTGAGTGGTACATACTCTGACCCAAAGTGTCAAGGGTTGAGCAAGCAACTAAATTGTAATCATTATGAGTAACTTTTGGAACAAATAACAATAACGCTGAATAGATTTTCATACAAAAAACTCATGTAAAGATACTTTATTGAGGGTTTAAGAAGTTGATTTCAAATGGAATTTGATCTGAAGAATATGTCGCCGAAAAAACTGACACAAAAAGAAATCGACAGGAATAAAAACTACAAGACTGAAATATGTTTTTTTCTTTTTATAAAGCATTTTGACTCTTAGTTTAGTGAGTGAAACAAATATCTCGTTTTGAAGCTGCAGTTTCAAAAAAATATCTAGTCGTAATGAAAAAACCTTTCTCCGATCCCAAAACATCAAAACAACAAACGGTCGGTCCTTAAGGTCGTATATATATATATTGCTATGTAAGTGCATAGTAGAATGTATTTGCACTGATCGCACTTTACGATACACTGTTAACACAGCTCTCAAGAACCTAGAAACAAACATGTAAATCACACACCACGATACGCAATTACTCTTTCTAACTTCTTTAAGCATTTACATTGCGTTATATCATGGCAGGAACACATCTGTTTAAGCCTGCCACCATATCCCTGAATACCCGACTGTTGATGTCTGAAGTGTAATACATGCTCCGAGCATTGAGTGTTAAAGGTATATCTTTTTGAACATAGTTTGAGCTTCGCCCATGAACAGGATAGTTATCCAGATATGCAGTGATGGCATTAAGTGACATATTCTGCTATGAATTGTGGAGACGTGATCGTGCAAAGAACAAGACGCTTGAAACGACTATGCTAACATCACTTAATATATGTCACATGTAGCATCGCATATGCTCTCATGATATAGTACAACGAGCTATGCTTACTTATAATTACGGAAATGGTTTCTTATTAAAGGAGAACCGTTGACACAGTCCATCACCAGAAACAAACCTGAGTTGTGACATACCGTGATCAGCACAAAACATCTATATCATATGGACAAACTGCATATCTGTTGAACCATGTAACAGTAACACTGTTCATGCATGTTTGGTCATCTGAACATGTTATCACGTATGTTCTTGTGATAGGTATGTCGTATTTGTGGCTTTAATTGAAAACAATAAAGTTCCTCAAATTTACATCTTTGTACAAACAGGGGAATAAGCAACACCCAGACCAATTGAAGGAAAGCACAATACCCTTTGCACCTAATCTATGAAGGACATAAGTATGTCCAAAAGCAAATAACAAAGTTATTATCATACTATTCATCGTCACTCATTCATTCATTAATACTGTGTGTATCTTGAGTAAATATTACCTGCATAGGAAAGAAAAATACAAACTGTCCTACTCGACAACATTCTAAATTCTGAATGTTTTTCAAGGTGATACACCGAAATATAATGGGATATTTATACGTGCATTCTATATTTGTTATAAAGCATATGCGTAAGGTTCACAATGTATGGGTGAATGGAAAAGGCATGCCATGGTGTCTTACTTACTTAATAACCTTAGTAAGTCCTATGCAACGACAAGGTTGAACAAATCATTACTTTCATCTATGACAAAAACATTATATCCGATGCAATTCCCTATTTTCACTTTACCAAATGTTTCAGTGTTTTTCTGCTTAACAATTGACTTGCCTTTGCATGTGCTTGTCACGGGTGCCACCGGTCGGGCAGGATACGTTCGCTTATTCGCGAACACCTGGTATCAACACTATTTGACTGTAATTCATAAACGTATGCTCGTGATATGGTCGGAATCGTTAAACTTACTCTCCTTTTAGTAGATATTTCTTATGAATACGAAAAGGGTTTTGTCACTTGTATTTGTCATACTGTCTCGTATTTGTATATTTGACTATGTTGTAACATTTATCAAATATGCCTATAGGAATTCCGGTGTTCAGAAAGAGATTACTACAAAGGGTTATGTCATATACCATTTTTCGTACAAGTCTTAAGATAAATGACATATCTGAGAGACACGAGTGAAGTAATTTATTTTTCACACACGTAACACGCAGTATCGAATAGATGCATAGTTCGTCTGTTCTGATGATCGGTCATGAGAGCCGTCATCCGGCTTACCGCTTACTATTTACTACTCATACCTAGTGTGACCCTCCACAAAAAATTCCAGCCATATCTGTGTATTATCAAGGCGATGATTATAATGCAAAGTAAATAAAATTAACAAGATATTTATCAAACCACGGTCATCACCACGGAGTAGAGATAGAGAGAGTGAGAGAGAGTGAGAGAGAGAGAGAGGGAGGGGGGGGGGGGGGAGAGAGAGAGAGAGCTTGGAAAAAAAGGTTGCAACATCATGAACGACGTTTTTAGTATGGATGCCGCAAGGTAAAATAGAGATTTATCAAACCACGGTCATCACCACGGAGTAGAGAGAGAGAGAGAGAGAGAGAGAGAGAGAGAGAGAGAGAGAGAGAGAGAGAGAGAGAGAGAGAGAGAGATTGGAAAAAAAGTTGCAAAATCATGAACGACGTTTTTAGTATGGATGCCGCATTTTTCTTTGTTCGGAACAGTACAACAACTCCAGATACCCTAATAATGAGTGGAGTCTCCGATAACCTGTTTTTGAGTTGATACGAAACACGTGCAGTACAGGCGCACATGCAAACAATGGCTTCACGATACAGCAACACACTTAGCCAAGATCTTTATCTCAGCTCCCTGGCTTTGAGGTTTCAATCGCACATATAACCGTTTTTGTTTCCATCTCAAGGTGAACAGTTCACTTTTATGTGGATGGGTTTGTTACTGTTGTCACGAGTGGGGCATGATGCGCTCACCATTTCGTTCACTATTTGATAGTCATTCATAAAGACATGATCATGATGAAGTAGGAATTGTATAATTAACTATGATTATTGGAAGGGTACATCAGAGGTAGAGTTGTTTCGAATATTTGAATTGATTTGGCTGTGAAAATATCACTGGTCACGATGAGGTTTATAATGTCAATTTCAGGAGGTAAACAAAGTTTTCCTTCTGTTGTACGGAGTTTTGCAACAAACAAACACTTCCTTTTTTGTGCAAATCAGGTGAGTGGCAAGTGCTACAGTTAGGGCAGGACATGTTTATAATAACACTTTTCTCAAACACATGGCGTCATCACTGATTTTTAGTGATCCTTTCATATCCTGTTCAGAACTAGTATTCTTTTTTCTCCCAAAGGTATACGTTTCTGCAGAAAATCGTGACTAATTTTTCTCTGGCGTAACATAGCTGCTGGAATATTGCTCGATATTAGGGGTCTGTTGAGGCGGTTGACAGCCAGTTGAACGTGATAGGAGTCCAAATGGGCACATAAATGGAAAAGAGCGAGTATCGAGCAGTCATCAAAATTTTGACTTTCGAGAAAAGTACTTGTTACATGTATGTGTATTTCATTGTTTAACAATGATTGTAACCGTGTAACATTGTTTCTTTGAATATTCGGTAGACGGTCATTGCATTGTATCTTAATCTAAGCAGTCGTCAGGAACTCAATATATTTAGATGCTAATGTTGTGTGTAAACTTCCGGAAACGGCGAGACTGGTCCCGCATTGGATAGAACCTTAAAGCATTGTCTGGACTAGTCTTTGGTGTGCTGGACTGTGTATATAGTGGAACAAGAACATGCCTGCCTCATCTCTCACACATTTTATCACACACGCTTTTTGATGACGTCAAGACCAGATTTCATGTGAGGGTCTCTCAGCATCACTGATTCCCTGACTAGCCCATCACAGAAGCTTTCCCACTGTCGCCGCCGGGTGAATATATATTATTATCACTGACTTTTGCTATCACCGCTGTATTTTTGTATTTGATACTGATCACTGCCATCATATCATTTATTGCTATTGACTATTGCACTACCACTCTATTGTTTACTGCCTCTGTAGTTGATGTGCAGTAATTTGTATTGATTTCTATTTTGAGTGAATTTTGATATACATTTGTTGATTGTATTCCACGTGTTGGTTGTTGGTTTCACACTAGGTTATGTTACGTACAGATTTCTGAATTTACATATTGCTTCAATTTAGGAATCGACACGTGACATGCCCCCGAAGAAAGTCATTTCACAAGTGTATGGGGATACATGCTCTAGGTTTTCCAATGTTAAATGTTGGGAAGCTATGTTTAAGGTTGAGAGAACAAGCCTTAATGATGACCCAAGGTCTGGAGGTCCTTCAACTTACATCAGTGAAGATTCAATGAAGAAGATAGAAAAAACCTATGCTGTCACATAGACGTAGTACCATTGCTTAACTTGATGAAGACACAAGTCTGAGCCATTGATCCATTGAAACTATTATTCATGAAGATTTACAGATAAGTAAGACAGCTTCCAGCGTTTCTAAGTTCTGTTCAACTTGGTGTTCAGCATCCACGGGTTGACAAACATGATGTAAATATCAAGGTCAGCTACAGTGCC